ATGACCGCGATTGCAGAGGTCCTGTTATCCCACAAAGTGCTCTGTGTGACGATCTGAAAGATGCAAGTAGCTTCATGGCAATTATCAAGTGCAGTACAAGAAAAGACCGCTCGGGGAAAAGTAGGATTATTTACTAGGAACTCATTTTCTTTATCGGTTTGGTTTTGCAGCTTCTATCAATCTGTTAAATAAAAACAAGATGCCGTCAAACAAAATTGTCTAATTTAAAGAGAGATAAGAGCTACAAATGAATTTATTATATACCTTCTCTTTGTTTTCATTCTCAAATATAACTTCTTAAATCTAAGCCAAAAGAAAGTGTAACATACAAAATTGTCTAATATAAAGTGAGAAAAGAGCTTCAAATGAATCGATATTCACCCTCTCTTTGTTTTCATTCTCAAATATAACTTATTAAATCTAAGCTAAAAGAAAGTGTAGTATAAGAAAATTCATCAAATACATAAACCCAATGTAAATCACAGAAAGTAAACTTTAAGAAATCCAAACTATTGCTTCAACTGAAGTCACCAAATACATTAATGCTACTGCAAAGTAGGTCAAACTGATCACTCAAGCACCTGAGGTTGTTGTTAAACAAATTTCTCGACATTTCTTCAGTCCTAATGCGAGCATATGCACTAGAGTTCTAAACCCATGTATATATACGTGCATAATATATAGACCAGGGAAGAAGTTATGTCTATAAAGCACCATCCCCGGCAACTCTAGAAACATTCAATTCCAAAATGTAAAAAGGAGCATACTCAAATTATGCATGTCTGTGGTCTAAATACTTCATTAGCAGCCTATTAGTTTAAAACTTTTGTACTCCGTCCTAGAATTAAATTCTACTTGGACTTTTTTGGTCAAATCATGACACTCTTTGTCCACAAAATGTGAAAAAAAGTATATTTAGTTGGAGTATAATGTAAAGCTGATACAATTAAGTTCATTTTAAGATATAGTCTTGATATATCAAATTTTTATAACATTTATTTATTTAAAATTATATTTAATTTGTGGTTAAATAGTGTTACACTTTGACCAAAAAAAGTCAAAGTAGACTTTAATTCCGGGACGGATGGAGTATAAAAAATGCTAAAGCAAAGCTCGACAGTTGTTAAATGCACTGAAGTGAATGGTTGCCCACAAAGAACTGGAAGGGATCAAATAAAAAAACATTTGCCTAAAAAATAAAGTTTTGAGATAGTTCAGTATAAGCAAATTGTGACTTGACAGCCCCTACTATGAGACTGCGTTCTTTGTTGTGTATTAAAATATTCAATCCACGTTTGCATTGAATTCTAGACAATGCAACAAATAACTATCGTTAATAAGATCTTTTATTATCATTTTGAAGAATGATGATTTTTGGTCAAATTTAAGCAGCAGAAAAATGATGACAATGACAAAGTTGTGTTTATTCTAGAAAAACAATCAATTGTTCTATAGTGAAACTATCTGTATCGCTGGTGTAATGATAACTTTTGTTGTATTTGCTATAAAAAATCCATTAGTCCTGTAATGAAACTTCTGTTCTAAAAAGCTACTCCCTATTTATATACTATATTATGTTTAAGCTGGCTAATAAAATCTATTGTGTGATGGACTGTGTACTGAAGAAAAAAAAATTAAGCCTAAAAGTTCAAAACTAGGAGGAGGTATTTGCTATGGAGCATTATCTTTTTCAGAAGTTATAATGTAAAATGGAAAAAAAGGTACAATTGCTTCCACCAAAATAAGATACAGTGACGTTCTTAATAAGTTAATAGGGTACCATTTCCCAAGCCCAAAACCGGATATGTACATTACACTAAAGAATGAGCTTCAAAGATTCACGTTGCTATAGTAATTTACCAAGCTTTGCATCACATGAGTTGCACGATAATGCATACTTAAACACCCCTAAACTGTTTCGAAACTGGTTTTAATTGCTACAAACTACTACAATGGAAGACTAAACAAAATAGTAAATAGAAACTTAGCCAAATGACATGAGCAGAATAAACGCTTGTGAGCTTAAAAACACTCAATGGCCAAAGATAAATATCATGCGGTTCATACCCGATGAAGATGGTTTAATACAACAAAGTCACTGCCCATTTAGTTCGTGTGTGACGGGTTAAAGCTCAAAATAATAAAGCACAAACCCAGCTTTTATTGAATCTTTGCACAATAAAACAGCGGAATGCGTGCATTAAAATCGAGTTTTTTCTATGCACTCCACACTTATAATCAAACCGATCAGATGACAGTTAGAAGAATCTAATTGCGAGCAATTGTTTTGAGATGATTCAATTGAAAAGCCTTACAATCTAAGTGAAATTAGGCTTCTAATTCTTATGCCTGAGTGCTTCTTCAATAATACCGAATGTTCTAATCCGTGAATAGAAAAGAAGCTTTGGTATGAAACACAAAAAACTGATCAACAAAGTAAAATGAAGCAAATTGAGAAATATATGGAAAATGAAGAATAAAATAAGTAGTAGCGTAGCAATTAAATGATAAAATAACTAAAACAAATTTCCACAAAAATAATTCCACTTACTAAACAGATCAAAATGCACAAAGCAGACATCCATAATTTAAAAAATGCGATAAAATTCTGCAATTCATAAATTAACTAACCTGGATCTAGCTCGAGTGTTGGATTCGGTTGGACCGATCTTCGTGGAGGAGCAAGACCGCCGACCGCCGACCGCCGTCAGTCGCCGCCCGCCACCGTTCGTGGGAGAGACGGAGAAGAAGCCGACTTGTTGGTTGTTTGAATAGGTCAGCTTATACAAGTTTCATACTAGTTTAACATACTCTGCATAAACGCCTTCCTTTTGATTTAGGAATAAAATAGTCTAAAATACACGGTTCATCCTAGTTCGGCATGATTTGTTCTTAAAATTTTAAAAGTCAAATTCCAAAATTAAAATCAACTTGTGGTGTACAATTAAAGGGGGTGGGAAAGTGTGTTCGGGTCGGGGCCAGGGTGGGGGATTTACCGGGAGGGTTAGTGAGGGTAGGAACCGTCAATTTTACGAACGGGACACCGGAACGCCTCCAGGTCATCCCATGACATTGGTTCTCAATGTCAAGGGAACCAAGGGGTTTTAAATATTACGTGTAATATTTTTATAATAGAAATTCTATATCTAATGTCTGATTACATATTCTAAACCACTTATAAAATCTCAAGTATTAGCTTTAAAAATAAGTTATTTACAAGTTGATATAAGAAGAAAAATATGACTTACATATTAAAAAAGATTATGTCATGGGAATGAAGGGTTCCAAAATATTAATGTCAAATTACTATGTTTTCCGTTGCCAAAAAAATGTGACACACTGATGTTTCTCCTTCTTATCTTCTCATTTACAGCTTCGACTCTCAGCTCACCGTGCGCCACCAATTTTAATTAGGTACAAGCGGTTTATGTTCGTATCGATATTATCTGATTTATTGTATCGATTTTAATTTCTTTCTGCATTTTAAGTTTTGTGTGAATTTCCGTCTGATGAGTTTGGGTGTTCTGGATTTGGGCTGCGAATTAGCCTTCAAAATTTCCATTTCCATTTGTACAAAAGTTTGTTTCTGGCTGATGAGTTTATGTTCCGAATTAATCAATGTTAGATTCTTCAGAATTTCAAAATTTCCCATTTTAAAATAACAATCACTTTGTGATTTGTTTTGGTTGTGGAAGTGATTCCTGTGTCAACTTTTAAGGCAAGTGTTTTATTCTATTGCGTTTTTAAGGTTTGTTTGGGAATAACGTCAGAGGATAGCGTTTTAAAAAAGCTATCTACCGACAGTGTTTACTATTAGCATTTTCAAAGTTAATCTGCACTGTTAAAATTTTATGCAAAAAAAATGTTATTCCCACGGGCTCTTAAAAAGTACAAATGGTGAACTAAAATTTGTATTAACACATGCCCTATATATACTCCTTTGGGATTGGGTTGTACTCTTCTCCATTTTATTCTAATAAAACTCAATTTCTTAAAAAAAAAGAACCTACTCCTATGAGTACAGGTAAGGCCTGTGTAAATCCACCCACGTACCTACTTTGTGGGAGTCCATTTATAAGTCATTTGTTAATTGTTAGAGCTGAATGAAACTGAACTAGATGCCAATGAAGTAAACTCAATGTAGTGTGATTTTAAAATGGAACATACTAAATTGAACTGAATAGGACTGAGATTAAATCCAAGAGAACAACCTGACTCCCGTGTAAGTAGCTGTTCTTGCCCCATAATATATTCGTTATTGTATAGCTGTGTGATTGACTTTTTTGATACATTGAAAAATGAATGAATGTTCACATTTATTCATTTTTCAATGCATCTAAAAACTCAACCAAACCGTTAATAGAGAATGGAGGGAGTGGAGTATCTAAATATTGCTCATATGTGGCGTTAAACAGAATACATCAGCTACCCACAGGATAAACTAAATTGCATTTGCTTGTTGTCGTCAACAGTTGACCCTCCACTTGAGCATTGTTTTGGAACCAGCTTCTAAACCTTGGTAACACATTCTCACGTCTAATCATGGTCTCACTTGGATCTAAGTGCTATAGTATTTGTATATAGTTATGGTCATACTCTAGCTGATTTGGTTTAAAATTGTTTGTGTTAGAATCAAGAATTTAATGGTGGTTCTTTATCGTAAAGTTTAGAACTTTATTTCACATCTCTCAATGCCTTCTTCAAGGTACACAACTTATATGCATAACATTTACAAGCTAGAGACAAAAATAAATGATACTGTGTAACAAATTTGTGAGACCCGAGCATAGAGAAAAATTGGTTACTTTATGGATAATGATGATAATGGTTTGAATCCCCCTCCTTACACATGAAGACTTAGCGTGCATACCCACAGTATCTCAATGAATAATGAGTTTGCGTGCTCGAAAGGCCCAACATGCCAACACAATGGGCCGACCTTCATTAGAAGCCATTTTTCGGGAAGATAAAAAAAAGTGTAAAGAATACCGGACATAGTTCAATTTAGGTTTGATTTGTTTGTTTGGTCACGCTTCGTACCCCAATAAAATGAGTCACTGCAACTTTCGACATACATTACGGATCATCAAGACACAACCACTCTATGTTTTAAGATGGGTCAGGTTGCATAGATCTGATCCCCTACTAGGGGTATGTTGTTTACACTTTTCAACGCTTTTCTTAAAATTTTACAAAAGTCAAATACACAAAGCTTGTTGGGACGAAGATAGTAGCATAACCAAAGAAACTTTAAGATAACCCACATCATCTACAAAGTACATTCTGCAAAGTGAGTGTCAATAAGAATTTAAAGATACCCATCCCTCTTGTCTTGCTCCTCTGCCTCCTTGTTAGCAACTTGAACTGATTTGAACCAAAGATATGCCTGCAATTTTTTATTTTATATTCAATCACACCATCTATGCATTTTTTTCTCATTTACCTTCATCACAAGCTTACTTATAGTATTAGTAGCCAAACTTTTCGCAAAACTTTTACTTGTAAATTACCGTTGTGCGGTGAATCGGCAATTATTAGGGAGAAAAAAGATGAAAAACTAATTTCAAAGCTTGTTTTTAGACGAAATGACCAAATTGAGATTGAAAATAAACAGAATTAAAGGACTTACAGAAGTTGGAATGCCAGTAACAGCAAAGAACCCAAGTAGAGGAGTGTAAAATACACTATCAGATCTCACAATGCCAAAAACTGGATTTTTGCTCACATACTCAAAAACTGACCCAATCTGCAAAAAAAAGAGAAAGAAGAAGAAGAAGATGCACAACTGTAGAAGAATCAAACAAGATCATATAAAGAACACCGGTCAAGAAATTTACTTACTGCAGCAATAGCGGTGACACTAGAAGCAAGAAGATACACATAGAAGGGAACCTCAAAGCTGAAAGAATCTTTTTTGGACTCGCCTTTGGCCCATGGAGGCGGATCTTCTGAACCGGGTTTGGCCCATGAGGGAACTGATTGGTCCTCTTCTTCTTCATTTTTGAACAAATTCTTGGCAAATCTTATTTGGCTGTTAGAATATCTTACCTTCTTATGATGATGATGATGATGGGCTAGGGTGAAACGGAGAGAATTGGAGAACAGTAGAATTGGTTTACTTGAAGAACAACGGAGAGGTGAATGTGAGCAGGGGGCATAGAGAGATGATGATGCTAATGTCGCCATGGCACTATGCACATTACCTTTGGCCCTAAAGGAACCAGCATTTGGTGTTAGCTCACATCATGTTACCAAATCTGTCATTTCATTCACAAGTACAAGGACGATACCCTGGACGGGGGTATCTGGTCCATTGACTCAGACAGGGCCGGTCCCGAGAATTCCTTGGCCTGGGCCGAGACGGGAAAAAAGGCCTAAAGGTCTTATTCCTAATGACTTAACGAATTAAAGTGTGTAAATAAATTATATTTGAATTACAATTAACGTAATAATGATTTACTAAAATGAGTGAATCAAAATCATAGTAAAGGGTTTATATATACTTTTATCCCCAAATCAATGTTCTGGAAATTGGTCTGGATGTCGATCCAGACGAGCTAGTGGGTCAAGGGTTATATAGTTGAACCAGTCGCCTCAGAGGTCAGCAGTTTGATCAATTATAATTAAAATAAATTATATTATTATATTTTTTTAATAAATAAGGAAATTTAATTTGTATTTTTCATTCTTCCATATACGTAGTAGTTTTTTATATCATTTTGCATATGTCATCACACTTTCTATTTTCTATTTGTATTATTTATTACAATTAAAGATAAATAATGAATATCAAATAAATATATAAATAGTAAGGCAATACAATTATCTAAAAAAATAAAAGATAGGTAATGTGTTTTAAGATAATACTATGTAACTAACACTTCATACTTATATTATATTTAGTTGATTGAAACAAGAAAAGTAGAAGACAACCTGGATCTAGCTCGAGTTTTGGATTAGGTTGGACCGATCTTCGTGGAGGAGCAAGACCGCCGACCGTCGACCACCGTCAGTCACCGCCCAGCCACCCTTCGTCGGTGCCTCCTTCTAAGAGAGACGGAGAAGAAGCCGACTTGCTGGTTGTTTGAATAGGTCAGCTTATACAAGTTTCATACTAGAATAACATACTTTGCATAAACGCCGTCGTTTTGATTTAGGAAAAAAATAGGCTAAAACACACGGTCCTTCAACTTTAAGATTTATGTATGTTTGGTCTTTCAAGTTTCAAAAGTCCATGAGTAGTTCTTCAAGTACACATCAGCCTCGAGATGAGATCCTTTTGACAATAAACATTAAAAACTAAATAGAATACTAGTTCCATATAATACGAGCAAATTCCACTAAGTACGACTATTCCGTATTATATGGAGCTAGTACTCCATTTAGGTTTTAACGTTTACCGTCAAAAGGGTTTCATCTGGAGGACTGACGTGTAGTTGAAGGACTACTTATGAACTTTTGAAACTTGAAGAATCAATCGTGCACAACTTATAAAATTGAAGAACTATTTATGGACTTTTGAAACTTGAAAAACTAATTGTGCAAAACTCATAAAGTTGAAGGACTAATAGTAGAGTTTAGCCAAAAAAATAATGACAACTTCAATTGCAGAAAAAATTGAGTGTAGTTCTGTAATTGTATTTGTACCTGGCTTTTTCTCTGTGTTCAATCAACAATGCCTTCTTTTTAGACTTTATGTTGAATATTTATCCAATTTTAATTAAATTTGTAGTTTGAAATTGAAAATTAGAATCTTTATAATTGAGTATAACAAAATGAATAGAATAAAGAATAATGTATGTACATCTCTCTCACATTTAATTCTATGAGATATTGATTAAGAGGTTGTTTGCTTTTAATCTAAATTAAGTCTAAAGTTGTGTTTTTATAAGACTTTATGGTATAATTTATCTCTAAAGATTTTTCAAAAATTACGTGAATTCAGGCACCAACGTCTCCTTAATTTTTAAATATATTACATCAATGACTCATCTGTGTCAAATTTTGGAGTACATTAATGAAATGCTCATCAATATACGTGCTAGAGTTTGATGAAGATATCATGAATTGAAGAAGAGATTGATCAAATGATGACGAGCTTTATCAGCTGATATCCGGCCTTTGAATTTGGTTACTGACTAAATCGTGAATAATTATCTATGACTTAAAGATGTTAAAAAATACTCGTAGAAGATAATGTTTTGTAATGACATATTAAAAACCTCACGTGTGATATATGACTTTAAATTAAGTCATACTTGTACTGGATTAACATATGATTAACGCACTTTCAAATCTAGCACAAACGGATTATTGGTGTAACATTTTTAAAAATTCAAGGGACATTTAAAAAAACATGAATAAATAGCGCAAAAACTTTTTTTACAAAGCAAAATGCCAAAACCAACGCGCTCATTTATATGTAAGTTTTAAGAGTATATCCAAAAAACGACTATCTTTTTAGTAATACACATGGTCATAATTGTTAACATAAATGCATCTTAACTCTTATTTCGAAAAAAAAATATGAAATTCTAATTTTATTATATTTTCAATGTTTTACTCATACTTTAATCCTTTTACCATTTTGTTTCTACACAAAAAAAATGTGAGCTCCATCCCCTAGTACTCCCAATGGAGCCTTAGAAAATTTGGTAAATAAAAGAGGATAACAGGTTAATATACACAGAAATATCCATCTATGATGAACGGCATCAAATAGAAGACAGGGGGAAAAACTGAGAAGGGCCCTTGTTATATTAGGGAGATATGCCTTCTTCCACAGGTTAATTAATGTACACAGGAATAATCCATCCATGATAAATTCCAAGTTCCATTTTTCCCATTGTTTCTTCATGAAAGTAATAATAATGTTTGGGGTTAATTAATTAAATCATCCCGAAGATTAATAATCTTGTTAATCCTGTTACAATCTCTCTTTGTCTCTCTCCCTCCCATCTTACTGCCATCTCTTGGAAGGTCTAGCAGCAGAGGAGCTGCTCCCGATCGCCTTTTTTGAACCTGCAGAGTAGAGACATTGTTAAAGAGCATCCCACATCGGAAAAAGTGTGAGAAAAATAATCGGTATATAAGCTCTTGAGTTGAACTAAGTAATCGATTGGATTCAATCTTTTAATGTGGTTCAACCCAAGTGTCTTATTACCCAATCCAGTTATCCATACCATATCCTAAATTCTATCATTGTTAGAGTATCCAACATCTATTTTTGACTAGAAAAAGAACCGGTAT